AAGTGTACCTCTGGTGCAAATTACTGACCTCTGTCATCATTTTAAGTGGGGGAACTTGCACAATCGGTGGCTGACTAAATACTTTTTTGCCCCACTGTACAGTGTGTTAGATGGAGGAGTTGTACAGGGAGATGGCCACAGGCAGGAATGATTTCCTGTGTCGTTCAGTGGTGCATCATGGGTAATCTCAGTCTCTCACTGAACGAGCTCCTGTGACTGACCAGCATGTCATGGAGTGGGTGGGACGTATTATCCAACATTGTCTTTATTTTGGACAACATTCGCCTCTCTGATACCACCTTAAGGGAGTCCAGCTCCATCCCCACAAACATTACTGGCCTTACAAATCAGTTCATTGAGTCTGTTGGCATCTGCGGCCCTCAGCCTGCTCCCCCAGCATGCAACGGTGTAGAGGATTGCACTGGCTACCACAGACTCCAGCCACCTTCTTTTTTCAAACCCATGACTGGTTGAGAGCAGTCTTTATGTGACCCTGTAAGAGGAGAGGGTCAAGGGGTGTAAGCAGTGTGGAGTGCTTTTTTTCTGCCTGTATGTAAACCAGGGCTGGCTCCTCAGAGAGACTGCCGTCAGCATGGACGCCATGGCGTCTCTCTCCCAACCATGCTCGTGTAGGCTTTGTTAATTATATTTCCATAACAGTTTGCTGGATTCCTCCTTCCTCAAGATGATTTTCCTCCTTCTGACTTGGTTTCCATCTGCTGAAGAGATTTCCTTTTTCCACACTGACAGTCTCCCAGATAGTGTCGATCACTGTGAAAACAACCAAAGCTGAACTCTTGAGTATCAAAATATTGCTGTGGCGGAGAGCTTTCATTCATTTGAAATGAAAAAACAAATGAAGAGAGAAAAGCGTATCCATTCTGTACTGAGCACACACCCTGGGCTGAGTTTGATCAACTTCCTGTCACATTGTGTGTCAATGTGTCTGTTTGCTCTGTAGAACAGACCTTAACTGTCCTTGTACATATACAAAAAAACTGTGGAAGCCCCACCCGATTACTGTGGGGAAAGTAATGAAGCTGTTACAAAGTGGCTTGAGTGCAAAACACCAAAATGCACTTCAGTAATGTCGTGTGCATTTTGTAAATTGTGTTTCTGTGTGAGCACACAGGTGTGGCTGTCAGAGGCCGACAGCAGGCTGTCTGATCACAGCACCAGGAGACAGAGCGGAGGCTGTGGGTTAAATTCCCAGGCAACTACACCAGGCAGCACCAGCCTCAAACAGCTGGACAACCGCAGCCCAGCCAGCAGAGAGAGGTAGTTTCTGACGATGATTGACCATTAATGACATCATTACTGGGATTTCCTTTTTTCATACCTGTCTCTCTCCTCACCTCTCTGTGTCTCTGCCTGACGCTCCTCAGTCCCGATGGCAGTTACACTGAGGATCACAGCGCTGAGCTTCACTTTAAGTCTCGTAGTTCAGAGTTTGATGATGACTTCGACGATGAGGAACCATTGCCGAGTATTGGAACCTGCAAGTCTCTGTACCCATTTCAAGGTATTTAAACATCAGCCGTTCCACTTTACAATGACATGTAAAATCTCATAAATGTCACAAACTATAAACCCAATCAGTCCTTTGGGATGTTAGAAACCTCTTAGAACAAAGAAAGTTGCAGCTGAAGCAGGCTGGGAGAGAAGCAACAAACACTGAGCAGCAGAAACACCTGCAGACAGGTAAATGGGCTGAGGATAAAGCCCATGCTTCGTCCTCAGCCAGATACACACAAGTTATACATGCAATGCAATTAATACATAATTAACATGTTTTCATATAAATCACTGAAATCCAACAGCCCAGCGCCAAAACTCCAGAAAAGTTCATTTATCTCCCTGTAACAAGCTTCGTTGATAGATGAATCTCCTCAGATAGACTCAGATTTCCACGTTAGAGTCAAAGTGTATTTTGCAGATCTAATTTTCAAGCAATGATCCATTCTGATTGGCTGTGAGATTGGCGAGCCACTCTGGTGTGGTCCAGGTGAAACACTTCTGTTTCTCTGTGGTATCAGCATGTTGTTGATCATCCTCAGGTCAGAATGAGGGCACTCTGTCGATGCTGGAGGGGGAGCTACTTTCTGTGGTGGAAGAAGACAAGGGTGACGGCTGGACCCGAGTGCGCAGGAACCTGGAGGAGGAGGGATATGTGCCAACCTCTTACATCAAAGTCTTCCTGGACAGCAGCGCCAAAGGTGCCATGACCTACATATGACCTCTCAATGACCTTTAAATTACCTCACCTGACACCAGGTCGGGTCACATGACCTCAGACCTTTGACTCATGAATGTCACCGTGCTAGTTCCTATGGTAACAGCAGCCTGCCTTGCTGTGCTTTGCCTGTCTGTGTGCCAAACTTGAGCTGTGTGACACACCTGTACAACTCCAGGGCAGGTGTGTCTCTGAGGCTCACATCAGACACCGATGATGATCAGTTTTCTTTATGTAATGCTAATTTAATGCTAACTTGGAAAGATATTTAGTCTGAACAGTAATGTCTGAAACGGAGAAAAACAAAAGGATCGGTAATCTGGATTAGTGTCATTTGTAGATTTCAGTTTTTACGTTGACTTTTTCAAATGTTTGGTTACTTCGGTTTTAATATTCCAGACGATGACATGTTTAAGGATTAAAGTTTGCAACTCTCTGCTAAGTTAGCTGCTAGCATACCATAACCTCAGGCCTTAGCTTTTAGCATAGCCTTGGCAGCTGCTGCAATAGTTGATTTCCTGAGGATGCTCAGGGAGGCATGTCAGTGAGAATGAATTATTAAAGTTTGTCTATATTACGTTATTACTGCCGTGACAAATAATCTGAAAGCGGATCTCTTAACGACACCTTTAGCTTAGACTACGTCCACACTAGAAGCGATCGCAGTGGCGTGGCAAACAGAGGCTGCAGAAAGCAAATGACGTTCCACAACTTCAAGCGACTACAGGCAAAATAAGCGACTGGAATCTTGAGTTAAACCCAAGATAAACTTTTCCTACCTCCCAGTCAGGAAATAAAGTGACTACCAGTGTGAGTGAAGAACACGACTGATTGATACTAAGTGACTAAAGAGTCACCCGGGGCCCCGAAGTGTCTGTAATTCACAATGAGCGAATTGCGTCGAGTGTGGACGCAGCTGGAGGCCGAACTGTCGTTTTCTCATTCAGCCAGACTGAAAGCGATCATCAGACTGCAGCTTTTCCAGGGAGGACTGTGGGGTTGTTGTGGCTTTGAGAAGACTGCGCTCAAACGCCGGCACAGTTGTCATAGTTACCTCATTTAAAAGGGGATGAGATGTTTTGCCTTTTTCTGTTCGAATCCAGCAGCTTCTCTGTTAACGAGTAAACAGATCTTTGTGATACGTCCAATCAGAGAGGACTGTTAGCCAGTTAGCGCTGGCGAGGATGTTATCGTGCTATACGTCTACTATATTGATATCCAGGGTTGGGCTGAAACAGTAATTAATGAATTGAGATGATGCCTTAAACCAGAAATCAGCTGAAGTTTACATAATTCATTCAGTGCGTTCTGTTTGTTGTTTTTTATGTTTCGCGTTTTATGTTCATGTTATCGTTGATAAACTTGCCAGAGTTCACCTTTATTGGTTCATGTGCTGATTATTTTCTCACTTGATCGATGATCTGAAAAAAAAAACTTAGTTCAAACTGTAATCTGTTTTTTAAATCAACATGATTATTTTCAGACGAATAAAAACAGCAGAGGAACTTCAGTTCACCTCCTGTCAGGGCCCGAGTGTCTGCTCCCTTTATTATTATTTCACGTCTTTGCTCAAGAACAAATGAAATTCTGCATGTTTGTCAGGTCTGGCGAAAATGTTCATGGTTCATTGGTTTGACATACAGAGAGTCGGGAATGGCTCACCTTGGATAGTACTACCAGCACATGGTTTGAGCTGCATGAATGAAATTTGGTACACACGTGTAACATGTTAAGATGATCGAAGAAGTCTGCGGGCCAATTAAACCCAAACCCAACAGGAACTTTGAATTGAAGATGCCATTTTGGCAATTTCCTGGCACTTTTGCCAACTCCTCCTGGGGATTTTATCGGTTCACCTTAATATTTGGTCAGTCTAAACTACAGACCTGGGCCTATTTCATTTGTTGAAATGAACATATTTCAGCTGCCATATTTGAAACTGGTCACAGTGCCATCTACAGGGAACAGGAAACTGCATGTTCTGCACTTTGGGTTAAGGAGTTGATCTTGGGATACATTGAAAACTGTGAGCTTTCATCAGTGGGCATGACCCTGGCGGCATGGTGAATTTTTGTGTTTCGCTATGAAGCACAGACTTGCTATCACTTACAGACATGTTTCAAGATGTTTCACTGTGAAAATTGTGAGTTTCATTGAGCCGAGCGATCTGGTGCCATCGCGATTCACTATGAAACAGGAAGCAGCTTTTGAGGGCCTTGGAAAGCTTGAACACTCGTGATATTTGGCACACACGTCCATGTGAGTCCGCTTTCCAGGTCTGTAGCTCTAAACACTTGTTGGAAAATGGCTCCGCAGCGCCCCCTGCAAAATTTCAAAACCGTCCTGCAGCTTTTAGATGCATCCCTACTCCAACACAGCTGAATCAAATGGTTTGATTACCTCTTCAGCATGCCATCGTGTTTGGCAAAGGCCTGATAACAAGCCATTCATTTGATTCAGCTGTGTTGGAGTAGGGATGCATCTAAAAGCTGCAGGATAGTAGCTCTCGAGGACTGGGATTGGGCAGCCCTGGTTTAATGTATGAGTCTGAAATTTGGCAGCCTCATGTGCAACATCAATATATACAACTCTAAATCCAACAGGAAGTCTGCCATTTTCAGGCCTCGTACTTTAACAAACTCCTTCTAGGGCCCTGATCAGATCAACGGGATCTTTGGTGAGTGGAATCAAAAGATCTGGTGATGTTAAACTGTGAAGCTTTTTAGTTGTTGTGAAGTGCAGCACACCGGGTTTTTATCATTCACCACAAAGCACAACGCTGCTGTAACTCCAGGATACGTTTTCCAGTTTCTCCCAACCTTCACAGGCATGATGATAGTCTAGGCTTGAACACAGTGATATGCTATTTGTCAGCTATATTTAGAGTTTCGGCTACTGGGAACAGGAAATACGCAGTAGGATAGAATCATCATCCAATCTGGGTGAAAGTTTAGTCTGTGTTTCCCACGCATGCTATATACAGTGTGACATATGGTTATGTCGGATTCTCTGTTTTCACCTGGTGGGTATAGGAGGTTTTCAGCATGGCTCAGCGGGGCGGGGTGCGAGGGCCCTCCCATCGCTGCTTGCAGCTTTAATTACTATTGCTATAAAATGGTGGTGTTAGGGTTAGCTGACGTTCTCAGCAGCAGTCTGTCTCACTCTGTCTGTTCTAACGTATCTGCCTGCCTGTCCACCTGTCTCTCTCTCTCTCCACTCTCCCTCTCTGTCTGTCCTATAGGCTTTGTGCAGAATAGTCGGCTAGTCTAGCGAGTTACTCGACCAGTGAAGACGTCTCTCCACAGGAAGTGATGTAAGAGCTCAGAGGAGGTCTGGTAACAATTTTTCATTGAACAGTGTTGTTTTTCAGGATCTCAACCAACCAGTCAGCTGGAAGACTGCTTTCTTCTTCTTCTTTTTTTTTTGAGAGACAAAAACCTCAGAACCTAATCAAAGATCCATGAGAAACCAATTTGAGATCAATGGGAAATCGGATCACAGATCCATGAGTAGCCAGTCAGATCCAGAACCATTTGGAGAGCCAATGCAACCCAGTCAGATCAATTAGAAACCATCTGAGATCCATGTGAAACCAGTCACATCAATGAAAACCCAGTCAGAGACCAATTAGAACCCAATCACAAACAAATCGGAGATCAAGGAGAAACCAATCAGTTAATAAATCAGAGGAGATGATTGTAGTAAGAAATGATTCACCGTTCCAAACATTTCTGATGTATAACTGAACGCTGACTTGTATTTGTGGAAAAGATGAAGATGTATTTCTGATATTTGAACTTTGTTCTTCAAACTCTTCATGTGAGGACTTTATTGATCAGCTGAATGATCGACTATGTTGTGGTCACCACGGTTATTGTGAAATCACTGTGGGCGTGGTCTCTAAAGTGACATTTAAACAGACAAGTCGACTGCATGTAAATACAAATTGTAGCTGCAGGAGTAGCCCTGCCCCCTATCGCCCTGCCAATATTAGCCCCACCACAGGCAGTAACAACCCAGCCCCTCCTATTAGCCCACCCATTGATGATGATGTTATTGACTGTGTAAAATGTGAACCTTTTTATTTTATTTTATAGTGAAATACTGATCAGTTATTTATTGTTTTAGTTTTTCTTTTTTTATTGAGATGTGAGTCTGCTGATCATGCTCTTTTCAATTTCCCGTATGTTAAACTTTCAAAATAAAGTACACTCAGAATCAGTGTGCCACTTGTCTTCATTCAGACTGCTCACACTTGTCAGCTTCTGAGGTGTGTGACCTCTAACCCCTGTAAACTCTGACCTGGACACTGAGACTCTCCTGCAAAGTTTTTAAATCAGACAGAAGAGGAAAAAGAGGAAAAAACTCGTCTGTGGTATGCTCAGTCGTAAGTGACATGACCACCCAACAGATCAACAGATTTACATCTAATGACATCAGGTACTTTAATCAGCTGATTAACAGCACTTCTTCCTCTGGAACCTGTCGATGTTCCTCAGGTAAAGACACAGACTTTAGATGTTCTATAGAAGATTCCTTAAAGCCAAATACAAAGTGCAGGAGGAGATTATAATCCAATGTTTCCTTCAGGAAATGTAAAAGGACAGTAATTATGTGTGAGTGTGTTAGGGAAAATATTCTAAAACACTTCTTCAGTAAAGACTCAGAGAAGAGAAACACACAAAGTTCTTGCTAGCAAGGGCAGCTCCCTACTGAGAGACTCGCACTAAGAAACTGCCCCGGTCTTTATTTATACTTCAGTGTGTGTGTGTGTGTGTGTGTGTGTGTTACTGCTGATCAAAGGGTCAAACATCCTTGGTCAGGAAGAGGGTAGCCTCCCCCTCACCCTAGATGGTTCACCCTTAGATAACACGGTGAGGAAGTCCTGCAGTTCATCTAAACAAAGAGCACTTAGACTAAAACAAAACGTAACTACGTTAATCCTGCCATAAAACAATAAAACCAGGTACAAGCTCTCTCGTGCTCCCAGGACGTGGGGGTGCATTCCTGGGGTGCACCCCAAGCCTGCAGCCTGTTAGTGATCACACACAATTAATTATATGCCTCTAAGTATACATGGCTGAATATTTCCTAATACAAATAACTACATGCAGTATTCTACCATATGCAAACTTATATCACTAAAAGATTATACTGACTACTAAATACAATTTTCCATTGACAGAGTGTAATCAGGGAAAGACCTGACCTTAAACAGGAGACCGTGACCTAACAAAGTAAAACAGTGAGTAGTGTGGAAGTTTGGAGAAACTGTGGTGGGATTGCTGCTGTCAGGACCTTCAGAGAGCCAGACAGGAGCGCTGGGATTGTCATCTTAAATCACTGAAGCTGTAATAATCTGCTTTGAACTGAAGTCGGATCTAACTTATGTGAAAACATGTTGTGTTTGCAATATCGCATGTCCGTGCTTTAAAATATAGACAGTCAGTGGCAAAAGGATGGATAAATGTATGCTGTTCAATTTCAGGCAGAGCCTTTCCATTCAAACCCACTAACGAGACTGATCAGTTTCAAAGAAATCATCTCTTTACCTGTTGAGCACCAAAGGGTTTTCTGAGCTTCCTCCTCAAAAATGACTTGCCCCAAAACGGATGGAGTATTTTTCTGCAATTGCAAACTCTGTATAAACAATACTCGTTTCAAAATAACGCTAAAACTTGATTCAATTCAATTCAGTTTTATTTATACAGTGCCAAATCACAACAAAAGTCATCTCAAGGTGCTTTATATTGTACAGTAGATACAGAGAAAAACCCAACAATCATATGAGCCCCTATGAGCAAGCACTCTGGCGACAGTGGGAAGGAAAAATTCCCTTTTAACAGGAAGAAACCTCCGGCAACCTTCCTATTAAATATCAAATTGATTTTAAAATTTTATTGTTTACTTATAAAATCCAAAACAATATGGCACCTGACTACCTAGCTGATCTCCTCTGTCTGTATAGCCCTCAGAGAGCACTAAGATCATCGGGCCAACTGCTCTTAGTGCAACCTAGGTTCTCGGCTGAAGACCAGAGGAGGCCGTGCCTTTGCCGTTGCCGCACCCAGGTAATGGAATATTCTTCCTCTTCGTATTCGCGTATCAGATTCCATTCAGTCTTTTAAATCACATCTAAAAACGTATTTGTTTAACCTGGCATTCAAGGCTAACTAGGGTAATTTACATCTGGCTTTGCATTTAGATTATGTAATTATTTTATATTTTATTTATTTTATTTATATCTGTAATTTATATTTTATATTGTGATTTTTTTTTACCTGTATCATGATTTTACTGGAAAGCACTTTGGTGTACTTCGGTCTTTAAAATGTGCTATATAAATAAATTTTGATTGATTGATTTTTTTGTTTTTCTTTTATCTAACGTGGTGAGCTGCAGATACAGTTAGATATGCTTCTACTTACATTATTTACACTTTCACACCAAGAATCTAAACTGAAATATACTGAGTTTAACAGACAGAGACAGAAAGAAATAAAGTCCCTATATAATACATTTTAAATGTTCACCTGGAAAAATTATGGTATGTTTTTGGTAACTGATGAGAAGGCAATGTGAATAAAATCTAAAATGAAATCATTGATAAACTGAAGATGCTAAAGTCATGATCGAGCCATCTGATTTAAGTAGAATGGGAGGGAGAGCCTTCAGTTTTCAGGCCCCTCTTCT